ATATATTAACTTTTAAATAAATTGATACATACTTAATAATATAATATTTATAAAAATATTTGAGAATTGATGGAATTTATTCAATTAGTGATATATATGAAAATTTAATGATAACAAATTCAATTAGTTCGCAGAGTACAGTTCACAGTTTTCTGGATGGTCTTCGAATTTCTTCTTTTATAACTTCCCAGAGGAATTAGAGGCAAAACTCTATGGAACAGCTTTCATATGTATGGTAAAGTCGTTGATGTGTATATTCCGAGGAAATGGGATAAGAGAGGGAAGAGGTATGGTTTTGTGCGACTAACAGGGGTCAAGAACGAGATTCAAATGGAGAGGAGGCTGAATGAGATTTGGATAGGTTCGTATAAGATGAGAGTGAAGCTTGCAAATAACAGACAAAGGAAACCTTCATCATATAGGAAGGTACAAGGTGCTCCTAAAGTCAGTAGATCAACAAGCATCATGAATAGGCTGGTTCAACCAGGACAGACATATGCTCAGGCAGTGAAGGGCCAAGGAAAGAGAGAGGATAAGGCTCCAGATCAATCACAGGAAAAGGAAACAAAAGAAACCCCGAAAATGGAAGTTGTCAAAACAAGAGATCAAGAGAATAAGGAAGCAGAAAAAACAGAGAAGATTGTTGAATACATTCCATGGGGTGATGAGCTGAAATGGCTTGAGGGTGGCATGGTGGCAGTGGCGAGGTCAATGGCGTTGATATCTGAGATTCAAGAGCAAATAGATGCAGATGGAGGCTTAATCTCGTTATCACCAATCGGGGGAAGGCGGGTACTATTAACTGAGAAAGTTACAGGATTCATAGCTGATTATATGAAGCATAATGAGGAGCTATTTGGCATGTGGTTTGAGTCTGTAACACCATGGGAGAAGGCACCAGAGGAGAAAAGTCAATTGAAGTGGGTGCGTATATCGGGTGTGCCATTAAAAGCATGGGGAGAGAGGTGTTTTCAGATGATCGGTGAGACAATCGGAGAAGTTTTGTTGGTGCACGAGGACACAAAGAAGAAAGCAATACTATGGGATGGAAGAGTCTTGATCCTTTGTTTGGAGTTGAGTAAAATCTCTAATCAAGTTAAGCTGAAGGTGGGTGAGCAGGTGTATGAAATAGAAATAGTTGAAGAGAAGTGGCGCTCTGATCCGGATTGGTGGTTATCGGAGAATGGCCGGAGAAGCGACCTAGAAACGAAGTCCGATTATTCAAACTCGTGGTGTCAGAACGAGGATCCGAAAATGGATATGGATGTGATTGGCGACGTTGAGGATGCAAGAAACGATTCAGAGCATTTAATGAAGGATTTGATGTCAAATTCAAATTTGAAGATTGTAACGGAAACAGAGAGTGGTATTCAAATGGTGCAAGAAATAGATTTAGAAGGAGATGTAAGCTTTAGGCTGCCCAAGGAGATTGGGCCACAAAGAGTGAGTTTTGATGGGCCAATAGAAGACAGTGGGCCGATCATCAAGATGGGCGGGGGACAATCAAAGGAAATGAACTTGGAGGAACCCGGTTTAGATGCACAAATAGTGGTGGACCCATCGGCAACGCAGAAATCGAAAAACACAACAAAGGGGAGCAAAAAACAGAGGCTGATTCAAGAATGCTACCCAGAGAGCATGGAGGAGATCTAGGCAAAAGGAGCACCGTGGGTAACACCCAGAACAAAGCAGCGTCTGGCACGGAGAGAGGGAACCAGCCAAGCCGGGGATGACAAGGTACACGATGCTATGGCTGTCTCTATTTCAGATGGATGTATTGAAAATAGAAATAGGGTGTTGCAGAGGGAGATGAATATGCATGAGGTGCGTCGGATGATGGGGGTAGGGAAGAGATTGGGTCTTAATTTCGAGAATAATGAGGAGGAGATTCAATCAAAGATGCTGGAGGCAGTAGATCGAGAAGGGGCAGAGAGGAGGGACGCGAAAGGGAGGTAGAGCCGTTTGTGAGGAATGGAGGTTTGTGGGTATAGAATTGATTAATGAAATTTGTGTCATTTAATGTAAGGGGCTTGGGTGGGACGCTGAAAAAGAAGGAAGTGAGAAGGCTGGTTCAAGAAGAGAAGCCTGATTTTCTATTCCTGCAGGAAACAAAGTTAGAAAAAGTGGATGAAGGTATCTGTAAACAGCTGTGGAATTCAGATGAGGTTGATTGGGTTGCGAAGGGCTCTTCCGGAGCTTCAGGGGGTTTACTTTGTATGTGGGATAGACGGCAATTTGTTAAGAGGGAAGATTTTTCTAGTGACGGGTTCGTCGGATTGGCAGGGGAATGGGGAGCAAATAAAAGGCAATATTTGTTAATTAACGTCTATGGTCCAAATGATAGACAAAAGAAGGCTAGTTTGTGGGAGGAATTGAGGAAAATGGTGACAGAAAAGGAAGGGTGTTGGTTGATAGCAGGGGACTTTAATGCAGTCAGAGGGCTTGAGGAGAGACGAGGTAGATCAGGAGAGAGCCCAGACATGAAGGACTTCGATGAGTTTATTGTGACAACTGATTTGGTGGATGTTAAATTGTCGAATAGAAAGTACACATGGTACAAACCAGATGGCACAGCAAGGAGTAGATTGGACAGATTCCTATTGAGTACGGAGATGAGTAATACGGAAGGAGAGTGGATACAACAAGGACTGCCAAGGAATATATCTGATCACTGTGCTATTGTGTTGAAGTCCAAAACAACAGATTGGGGACCAAAACCCTTTCGGGTTTTGGATGCATGGCAACAACACCCCGATTTTAAGAAGTTCGTAGAAGATAAATGGAGTGAGATGGAGGTGGATGGTTTTGCAGGGTATAAGTGCCAGCAAAAGCTGAAATTGCTAAAAGGTCTTTTAAAGGGCTGGAACAAGGAAGTCTTTGGGAACATGGAAGCTCAATATAAGCAAGCTGTAAAAAAGATTGAGCAAGTTGATATGCAGAACGAGATATCTGATCTGGAAGAGGCTGAGATTGTGAAAAGGCAAGAAGGTTTTTCTGAGATGTGGGATGTTTTGAGAAAAAAAGAACTGATATGGAAGTAGAAATCAAGGAGTAAATGGGTGCATGAGGGAGATGCAAATACTCGTTTTTTCCATAGAGTCGCAAAAGGTAGAAGAGCACAAAACAACATTGCGGGATTAATGTGTGATGGAGCATGGATTGATGAGCCAGATTTAGTAAAAAATGAGATAGTCAAATATTTTAGAAGCTTGTTTCAAGGAGAGTCATGGAATAGACCCAAGCCTGGGAATATTAATTTCAAGCAGTTATCCAAGGAGAAAAAAGATTGGCTGGAAAGACCATTTTCAGTTGAAAAAATTGAGGAAGGTTTAAGGAGCTGTGAAGGTTCAAAGGCACCAGGACCTGATGGTTACAACTTCAACTTCCTTAAATATGCGTGGCACTGTATAAAGGAGGACTTCATCAACTTTTTTTTTTGAATTCCATCGTAATGGCAAATTGGTGAGGGGTCTTAATTCTTCTTTTATAGCCATGATCCCTAAAAAGTTGAATGCTGTAGAACTAAAGGATTATAGACCCATTAGCTTGATAGGATGTGTCTATAAATTATTAGCGAAGGTGCTGGCTAATAGATTGAAGTCTGTAATATCAGAAATAGTAAGTGAAACGCAATCTGCCTTTGTGGGGGGCCGTCAGTTGGTGGATAGTGTCATGAAGTTGTGGATGAGATTAAGAAAAAGAAACAGCCAACTTTTGTTTTTAAAGCAGACTTCGAAAAGGCATATGACTGCGTAGATTGGTCTTTTTTGGATTGGATGATGGAGAGTTTTGGATTTGGAATGAAGTGGAGAGGTTGGATTATGGAATGCCTTTCAACGGCGAGAATCTCGGTTCTGGTAAACGGAAGCCCGACAAAGGAATTTGAGGTGGGTAAAGGCTTGAGACAAG